GCTCGGTCTCCTCATTCCCGGGGGCTTCCAGCCCACTCCTGGCTGTTCCCCTTGGTGGGGTTTGGGGCAGCGGTTGTGCCAACGCTTGTCCTTGGCCAGGTCGAAGCGTTGGGCATCCCCTCATCGCTGAGGGACCCGCCACACGTGGCATTGGCTGCACGGGGCTGATTGAGCAGGTTGTGGTTGTCCTGCAAGGCTTCGTGAGCCCAGGTTTTTGCACAGACACTGTGACTGTAATTCACGGCTCTGAGGAGGTTACAGGTGTTTGTTCGTGTTGTTTAGTCACGAGAGGAGAGTCGTAACCCTCGGCTCAGTTCCCAGCTCCTGCTTGTTGGCTGACCTTGGGCAAATTACTTTTTCTGTGTGTGCTCAAACTGCACATCTGCTGATTTCGTACCCTAATCGAGTGCTCTTAGGGATTTGCAAAACTCTGGGGAGAGAAATGCAAAGTAAAGCTTGAAAACGACATTGACCTTGCCTTGCCTTGCAGTGTGCTTCACTGAAGGCCAAAGTCAAGTCTCCATGTTCTTGCAGTAGCCTGTCTGGGATGACAGCACTGTTGATGTGCATTTTGCAAAATTGATGAGGCACTGACATCTGTACAGGTATCAACAGTAAAGTCTGTTAGTAGCAGAGCATCCCGCCAGGTTATGCATTTCCCCTCTGCAAGGTAGGATCTTGCTATTGCCCCCACTTCAATTACAAACTGGACTGGAGCACTCCAGCAGCTGCCCCAAGGCTGCACTGGAAATCTGCAGAGAGCAGGAGACCCATCTGAGGTCTCCTCAGTCCCAAGCCAGCAATTTAACCACGGACCATCCTGCCCTTTGGTGGTGCTTTTCTTCGTGTTGTTCAACAGAACTGTTCACTCTGAATTTGTGAGGTGTGTTTTGAATGAGGCTTCTTGAGCTGAGGAGTTTATAGTTTAATTCAGTTTTCCTGGGGGCACACTGAAGGGATGGAGACTTCCTGAGCTGCTCTGCAAGGAGACCTTGTTGCAAAATCAAGACTTTCTGGAAGAGGTAAACAGAAGTGTTTGGTAGCCAGAGGGAGAAGGCTTTTCTAGCCTCTGAAGCTTGTAGAAAGAGGAGATGAGAGTCAGAGCAGCAGAGATCAGAAAGAGATGATAAAATTGGTGTGGAGGAAGGAGTGGAATTGGGTTGAGCTGCCTTGAAGGTGATGGTTCAGAGCACAAATTTGTGTTGTGATGAAAACATGAAGCCTGAAGGCTGAGACTGGCCCAAACTCCTTTCCTACCTCACATGTGAGCAGCGATTGTTGAAGCGGAGCTGTGATGGAGACAGACTGTGGGCAGCACTGCAAATGGCCCCGAGCAATGTGGCATCTCATGCTTAGCAGATTTTGAACGATGTGGGGATTATTTCTTCTTAAGGGGAAGAGTTTTTATATTACATTCACACTGCTTCTCCAAAATTCCCTTTCCCAGCTCTCAGGGCCCTGAGGAAGCACTGATAACAAGGACTGGCTTGACTGGTTTGCAGCTTTGCAGAAATCTCATGGACTCACTCACTCACTCTGGAAAATGTTCCTAAGGTACTTTGGCATAGGCTTCCTTTTTCTTTTCTCTTGGAAACTCACTTTCTGGATTAAATGTAAACAGTACCTGCCTTCTTGGGTGGTTTAGGTGCTGCAGGAGCAGGATTTAGCCTCCAAGCTGCTATTTTGCAGGGGCAGGGATGGTGTGTGGCTGCTCAGTGGGTGCCCAGGCACTGGGCTCACAACCCTGTGAGCTGCAGCAGGATCTGTGGGGTTGGATGTGTTGAATCGGGGGAGGCCACTCACCTTCTGGAGACCACACAAAGCCTTACCTGGAGATATCGTGCTCTTTCTCACCTGTTTTCAAATGTGATGTTTGTGTCCTCAAAGGCCCTGTGAGCTGACCCCAGACAGTCTGTCTGCGATGCTTTCTGGAGGTGTGACTGAGCTTGGGCAGACCTGCCTGAACTGGCTTTAAACTGGCTTGTTCAGGCACCAATAGCCAGTGTAACCACAGCAGAATGGTTGCTGGTGAGTGCTCACCAGTTGTGGTGCTTGCACAGAGCCCCAGGCGGTTTGGCAGCAGGCACACTTCTAGCTGTCTTGTTATCTGTCCCCAAACTAGTTAGTTTTAATCCAGCTGTGATAGGTCTGCATCAGGTTGTGGTTGTACCAACACTTGTAGTGTGGAGAAACCAGCACCTTCTCTTGGATCTAGATTAACTCCTAGTTGTAAGCCACAAGTCATCCTCTCTGCCATCCAGCAGCATATACCTGCCCTCTGGCATAGATGGAAGAGGGATGAAGTGTTTAATTGTGTATTTTTACTTTAATAAACTCCCCAGAGAAGTTTGCCTCTGGGAGGAATCGAGCTCTTTGCAGCCTGTTGGCATCTTGCATAGGAAAATGGTTAGCATGTGTTTTTTGAGAAACAGACTCTTTAAAAACAAAGGCCACTTGACTAGTTTTGATGTTTTCTTTCTAACTCACAGTCCATTTTATTCAAAGGTTGAGGTTTTCTTGTTTATTTTTTAATTTGGAAATAACCTTGGTGGTGTTCCCTTGCAGATGAACGAAGACTGCCCCAGCTGAGCTCTTACAGAGGCTTCTGATCCATCTGAGCCAGGAGCTTTGTGTGGGTAGAGGACGTGAGTCAACAAATGGTCTCTGTGAGTTGCCAGGAGCTGCTACCATCCTTGACCAGCTCTTCCCTGCTAGAGAACTTTGCCAGTGCTCTGCAACGCAGCATGCCACCATCCCTTTTGCCAGGGCATGGCAGCGAGTCCAGCCACCCAGAAGGCTCTGGCCATCTCCTTTCAGGCAGCACCAACCACTCTGAAAGCACCTTTCCCCCCTTGCCTGGTGTGAAGGTGGAAGACACAAAACCTCAAGTCAGTGTCTGTGAGGCTCACCTCAAGCTGCCTGATTTCTGTGGCAGCCTCTCCCAGGATTTCATTCCCACCCTGGAGGAGATTGAGGAGTTCCTAAGGGAGAAGGATGAGTTCCTCAAAGATGAAGCAAGCGAGCTTCACCCAGCTGAAGGGAAGGTTGAGATCAAATCTGAGATCAGCTTAGGTAGCTCTAGGGAGCAGACTATCTCCAGTGTGGTTCAAGAAGAAGAGGTCTCAAATGCTGCCCAGCCTGGAGGGACAGCTGATGGTAGTGACCAGGCAGTAGCTGCTGGGAGCATTCCTGTTGTCCTCCAAATCCAGCCTCTCCAGATGGACAGTGGCAGCCCACTAGCACAGAGTGTTACAGGTGGGGTCAGGATAGCCCAGCTGGTTATCAGCTTGCAGGGCCAAAACCTGTCCCTCTTCCCTCAGGTCCAGCCCCCTGTGACCATCATGGACCAAAAATATGTCAAAATTGCCCCCCTGCCAGTCGCCATGAGGCCAGGGGCACCAGGGGATGTGCAGGAGGTGGAGGCAACCCCCACGTATCAGAAAACCCTCCCTTCCCTCGTCCGTGTCCATAAGTGCTCACACCCAGGCTGTGGCAAGATGTACACCAAGAGTTCTCACCTCAAGGCTCACTTCCGTCGGCACACTGGCGAGAAACCCTACAGCTGTGCTTGGCCGAACTGTGGCTGGCGGTAAGTGGGAGGGGGTGGCCCTGCCAAAGGTTGGTCATTGCTTGCCCGGATGCAGGAGAGCCCTTGGCTAGTGAAAATCCAGGATAAAAATCACGAGTCTTCTTTCCTGAGTGAATGATAAGTGAGAGCTGGAAGGAGATCTGGACGAGTAAAGTTTGTT